ACAAATTAAACGAAAATAAACAAAGACAAACAAACAATAAAAATAAACAAAGACAGACAAACAATAAAAATAAACAAAAACAAACAAACAACTTAAACAAAAATAAAAATAAACAAAGATAAATAAACAATAAAAATAAACAAAGACAGATAATAAACAACTAACTATCAAAGAATTAAAGCGACAAACAAAGATAAACAATTTTAATAAAAATAAACAAAGACGAATAAACAAATACAAATAAACAACATAAACAAACAAAGATAAAAAAAGATAAACAAACAAATAAAAATAAAAAAGATAAACAGACAAATAAACAAAGACACAACAAATAAAAATAAAAAAGATAAACAGACAAATAAACAAAGACAAACAAACAGCTTGAACAAAGACAGACAAACAATTTAAATAAGAATAAACAAAGACAAATAAAAATAAACAAAAACAAACAAAGATAAACAACTTTAATAGAAATACACTACTTAAACAAATACAAATAAACAATAAAAATAAACAAAGACAAACAAACAACTTAAAGAGAAAAACAAATAAAAATAAACAACAAAAATAAACAAAGACAGACAAACAACTTAAATAAAAATAAACAAAGACAGATAAACAACTTGAATAAATAAACAGAGACAGACAAACAACTTAAATAAAAATAAACAAATAAGCAGACAAAAGTTAGATAAAAATAAACAAAGACAAATAAACAACTAAAACAAAGACAATTAAACAGCCTAAACAAAAATAAATAAAAATAAACAACTTAAATAACAACATACAAAGGCAAACAAACAAAGACAAGTAAACAAAGACAAACAAACAACTTTAATAAGAATAAACAAATAAACAAATAAACAGCTTAAACAAAAATAAACAAATAAACAACTTAAGCAAAAATAAACAAATAAACAAATAAACAAGTACAAGCAATTTAAATAAAAATAAGCAGAGACACAACAGCCTACAATCAACAAAGACAAACACAAATAAACAACTTAAAACAAAAATAAACAAATAAACAAATAAACAATAAAAATAAACAAAGATAAACAACAACTTAAACACAAATAAACAAAGACAAATAAACAACTTAAAAAGAAGAACAATAACAAACAACGTAATTAAAAATAAACAAAGACAAGCAAACAACTTTAATAAAAATAAACAAAGACAAACAACTTTAATAAAAATAAATAAACAACTTGAACAAACAAAGACGAAGATAAATAAAAAATTTAATTAAAAATAAAAAGAGATGAATAGAAAGCCTAACTAAAAATAAACAAAGACGGGTAAACAACTTAGCTAAAAATAAACAAAGACGAGTAAACAACTTAGCTAAAAATAAATAAAGAATAATAATAATAAACAACGTAATTAAAAATAAACAAAGATAAATAAAAAACTTAGCTAAAAATAAACAAAGATAAATAAACAGCTTATTTAAAAATAAGCAGAGATAAATAAACAAGTTAGATAGATAAATAATATAAACAAAGATAAACAACTATAAGTAATTTAATTAAAAATAAACAAAGATAAATAAACAACTTAATTAAACAAAGTTGTCTTCTTAACCAAGGAGAAAAAGGCTTATCGGGCAGCCTAAGCCGCATGCAGAGATATTAATCTGCTTGCATTATTTTTATAATATTTATTTTATTTTATTTATCTTATTATATTTATTTTAATTTATTTTATTGTTTATGTATGTATTATTAATTTATTTATTTATTCATTGTTTATTTTGCTGCGGCAGCGAGCGACGCCGTTTCTCTGCTGCTGCTGCTGCTGCTGCTGCTACTGCAGCAACAGTTGCTGCCGCTGCTGCTGCGGTTTCCGTCATTGCTGCTGCTTCTGCAGCAGCACTTCCTGCTGCAGCTGCTGTATTTTTGTTTCTGCTGCAGCTCCTAGTACTTCTTCTGCTGCTGCTGCTCCGCTGCTGCTTCCGCCGCTGCTGCTGCTGCTGCTTCTGCTGCTGCTGCTGCTGCTGCTGCTGCTGGAGAGGATAGGCAATAAGAGTTAGTTAGATCGAGTGTTGTTTATTTGTGTTGAATAAAACTTCTGATAAACCCCTACAGGCATCATAGGCGGAGAGCGCAGAGACCAAAGACGGCCGAGAGATTTCTTGCGAATCAAACTAAATGCATCGCTGCTGCTGCTGCTGCTGCTGCTGTTGCTGCTGCTGTTGCTGCTGCTGTTGTTGCTGTTGTCGTTGCTCTTGTTGTTGTTGTTGTTGCTGGTGGGGAAGGGCGCTGGCTTCGATTGCTGTTGCTGCTGCTGCTGCTGCTGCTGCTGCTGCTGGGTGCCGCTAGGATTTCTTTGCTGTGCTGCTGCTGCAGCATTTTCATTGGCTGGAGGCAGAGGCTTCTGCATGCTGCGTCTGCTGCTGCTGCTACCTTCTTCCTCTTTTACTTCATGTGTGCTGTCCTTGTGCAGCAGTTCTTTTGAACTCTGCCTCTCCTGCTGCTGCTGCTGCTGCTGCTGCAGCTGCTGCTGCTGCAGCTGCATCTGCTGCTGCTGCTGTAAGCGTGCTAGCAGCATTTTACTAGCCATATCTCCTTCTGTTGCTTTTGGTTGAGAATCTGTTGAATACAGCAGCAGCTGCAGTTGCTGCTGCCTCTGTTGCTGCTGCTGCTGCTGCTGCTGCTGTTGGGCTGCGATTGCGGCCAATCTGCTGCTGCTAATGTTTCTGCTGAGGTTTGCTGCTTGCAGTGATGCCTCCTGGCTGAGAGAATACGAAGCAGATAACATTGAAGAAGAGCTGGAGGCCTCTCTATTGGCTTCAGCAGCAGCAGGGGGTGCTGCTGCTGCTGCTGCTGCTGCTGCTGCTGCTGCATCTGCTGCTGCTGCTGCTGCTGCTTCTGCTGCTGCCTTTGAACTCACTGGTGCTTTTTTGCTTTTCTTCTTCAGAGTTCTTTGTTTATGACTATTGCTCTTAGCTTGCTTTGAAGACTTTGTTTTAATTTTTTTATTCTTTTTTACTGTGTGCTGCCCGGCAGTCTTTCTCTTCGTTGTGCCTTTCTTGCGAGATTTTAATGCTTTTTTAGTTGTTATCTTCTTCTTCTTCTTCTTTGCTGCTGTTGTCTTTGCTGCTAGCTTCGGGCTGCCGTCAGAGTCAGCAGCAGCAGCACCAGCAGCAGCAGCAGCTGATTGAAGGTGTTGTTGCTGTTGTGCTGCTGCTGCTGCTGCTGCCTCTGATGCTGCTGAAGCAGCAGAGCCTGAGATACAAGCAAGCAAACGCACGCAAAAGAAATAAACTAAAATAACAACAGAAGAACAAACAAAAACAATAAAAATATTTATATACAAATCAATACAAACAACATACACCGAAGTAATATATACAAATCTACATAAATAAATATATTAATATGTATATAATTTATATATATATTTATAATCTAAACTGAATAAATATAAATAAATAAATATTAATAAAATATTAATAAATATAATATTAATAAATATGAATAGATACAATGTTAATAAATATAAT